ATAATGACTTTATATTGATGTTGATCCTTTCTTTCCAGGCTTGCCTGGCACCTTCTACCCCCCACCCCCACCCCATAGTTCCCTACCAGAAGAGGCCTTAGACTTGTGGCATGATTTTGGGCCTCAGTGGTCCTGCCTGGGCCAAACTTCTTTAGTTAGACATTTACCCATGAGAGGGTGGGTAAGTTCTGGTGTTTCAGAAACTCCTTTAATTATATTCATTCTCTCTATTGCCCACCAATTATGTTTAAGTTCTTTTCTAGTGAAGGTCTTTTTCACTGAGAGTGTTTTTGTCTTTATATGGTAGATGGCAGAACCCATTTAGGGCAGGTAGTTTTGGGGACCCTGAGGTGCCCCTTAGCCTGGCCACTAACAAGTGAAATCATATAATATTTGCTTTTTAATGTTTGGGTCATTTCAGTTAGCATAATGTTGTCAAAGCACATTTTGTGTTGTAGTAGCTATCAGAGGTTTACTCCCTTTTCACGACAAAATAATATTCATTGGATGGATATAGTATATTTTATTTATCCATTCTGTTAGCGGACAGGTGGCCTGTTCTCAGGTTTATGTTATTATGAGTAATGCTGCTGAGAACATTGGTTTACAAGTATTTGCATTCCTGTCTCAATCCCTTTGGGGCATATACCAAGAAGTGGAATTACAAGATTACATGGTAATTCGGTGTTTAACTTTTTAAGAAACCCCAAGTGATCATTTTTAAAAATTGTCTTATGTCAAACGAGTGCAGATCAAGTGAAGATGTCATGTTCTGAAAAAAAACTTAAATAACTCAAAAAAGTGGATGCACTCATAACAAAATCACTGCTTTTGAAGGTATAAGTCTAGCGTTTGAAAACAAGTGTTTCATTAATATAGTGGAGAAAGTAACATTTTAAAAGGAATCATTTTGTGTAATATGATAGACAATAGAACATTTTATCTAGTTTTATTAAATAAACTATATTAAATTTGCTCAAAACTTAGTTTTTAAATCTTCTATTTAAGATCTTGTCTATATCAGGAGATTGAAAATATATACAAGTCATTGAGCAAGCATAGGAATATCCATTATCTTGTTTCAATTTTGTGATTTATTTAATTTATTTTTTTAAAGATTTATTTATGTATACAGAACTGGGATACAGGCCGTAAGTGCAGGAGCAGTGAGGGCATTCACCAGAGACAGAGTGGGGAGCAGAACAGGCAGATCTGAAACACACTGCTGAGAAGAGCAGTGGGTGAAAAAGGAGAGGTCTGCTGGGCCATGTGGGTCAGCTCCCTAGCTGGGGATCGAACTCGGGCTAAAGTGGTTGCAGCTAGCTTTGCAGTGCTGCACTTTAACCCATTGCATCACTAGGGAGGGCCTCAATACTGTGATTTATAGGAAGAAATATATTGGTCACTTAACAGACTGAAATATATCTGTCATTATATACTTCATATTTGTCCACGGTTCCTGGCTCTCAGCTCTCAAAACTCTTGGAATTTCCTAAGAGAGAAAAGATAGTCTTGAGAGACATCTTGAGAGAAAGATGTCTTTTATTATGTGGATGAGGTGACTTCTGGAAGCCTTTAAGTAGGGAAGGTGTAGATGGGGAGTTGAGAATGTGGGTGGAGGGGAGGGAGGTGGGCTGATTGCCAAGAGAACAAACCTCCTCCCTTCCCCACCCCACTCCACCTCCAGGGAGAGGAGAAGACCTCTCCTGAGATTGGCTCAGGTTAAATGGCCAATGATTAACTGATCATGGCTCTGTAATGAAGCTTCCTCCAGACCCCTAGAAGGTGGAACTCAGAGACATTCTGGTTGGGAAGGTTGGGAAGCACATGGAGCCATGGGACAGTGGGGTACCTAATAGTGGGGTGCCTAACAGTGGGGTGCCTAATGGTGGGGTGCCTGGCAGGGCATGGAAGTGCTGTGCCCTTTCCCTCCCCCTATTCTGTGTCTCTTCTTCCACCTGGATGATCCTCTATCCTTTAACATCCTTTGTAATAAATCAGTAAGTAGTCTAGTGAGTGAACTGGTTTTCTGAAGTCTGTGAGCCATTCTAGCAAATTAATAGAATCCAAGGGATATGGCAGAACCTGTGATTTATAGCCAGTTGGTAAGAAGCCTGGGGAACAGCCTGGACTTGGGCCTGGAGTCTGCAGTGCAGGGCCATCTTGGGAGAGGGAGCCCTTTACTTGTGGAAGCTGGTACTGTCTCTGGTTTGTCAGAGGTTCTCTGACACCTTGCCGGTGTCCAAGAATTGCTGGATGTTGTGGGGAAGCCTCCACACACCTCAGCTAGGTCTTGGCTGCAGAAACCCATTTGCTTGTTAAAGTCTATGGACTCGAGTATCCTGGTCCCATTTTACAGATGAGGCAAATGGGTCTGAAACCAGTAAATAATTTGGCTAGTTGATACAGGTAGTAAGTCCCAGAACCAGTTTTATCAGATTTCAATGCTGGTGCTCAGCATTGTATGACAGGCAGGATTTTGTCGGGGTGGTAGGCATGGGGTAGGGTATGGGGGAAATACACACATTTGAAAAAGCCATTGCTGCATTTCTTCCCCTCCCCCTTCACTACCTTCAGCCTTTCAGCTGCTGCTTTTGGTAGATGGTGCCATCTTTTTCAATAAGATGTTTATTTGGCTTTCTCAATTTTGGATATTTTCCTGTAGGTTCTATAAGGTTGATGAGGATTTCATTTTCTCCAGAACTGCTTCCTCCTCCTATTCGGAAGCAAAGGCCAACTAATATATTGAGATAGTATCAAAGGTAATGAGTGGGAAAAGAGGAAAATCATGACAGTTAACACTGCTTATGCTTGGCTAAGATACTTATTCCAACCTATATTTCATCTTTCCTCTCACTACCGTACCTGAAGAAGGTAGTTAATTATCCCTTTACTGCTGAGGAGACTTGGGCATAGTCTCCTCCAGGGACTGTGGAAAGTAGGAAGAAATCGACTCAGGTCATCCAACTAGCGGGAGGCAGAGCTTGGGAAAGAGGCCCCTAGGGCTCTGTCTGGCCTCACAAGCTCCACTGTGACCTACACACTCTCTCTTATCTAAGACAACTTGATTGAGTAATAAATGAGGGACAAGTAGAGCAAGAGCTTTCAGAGACACTTGTCTACCATCTTGACAAGGAATCAGAACGCCCACTGCCTTTACCCAGAAATGCAACACCCATTTTCTGACCAGAATTTGGGCTGGATATCTTCAGGTTAGTACAGGTCTTGAGCCAATCAACGGTGGCCCAGAGTCATGTGATACCAAGGGCGGCACTTACACTGCAGGGGTGGGGCAACTCCCCCACTCCCCATACGAGTGTGGAGAAGCAAATTGTGATTGACTCCCCATTATGAAGTCAGAGATATCCATGAATAAGTTGGTACTAAACTGTCATTGTCCCAGCATATAGTTGTTGCTTAAATATTTGATGGATGAACAATGGAGTTTTAGTGTCTTTTTTTTTACATTCAAGTTGTTTAAAGTTATCCAATGTTGCCATCATTCAATTTACTCCTACTATTTCCACAGTAGGGTGCTTCCTTTTGAGTATCCCCAAGAAAATCTAGCTCTAAAGAGTATAGGCTCTGGAGATACACTGC